AGAGTTGAGGCAAAGTGTATGGTTTTCATTTCTTTCCCAAGGATTGAGCACAGCCTTTGTATTGATTGCACGATCATCAATAGTTCCAGGAACCGCCACATTGATTAGTTTACTGTAACCACCAATAACAGAAATCGTTGTTGAAATCGAATCCAAATCAATTAAGAATAAAGGCGATTATAAAACATATTAATGACGACTTACCAGAGAAGAACTCCGTCCTTCGCAATATCGAATAGATTGTTCGTGGAAGGGTCTATGGGGAGGTATCTCTTAAGAAATTTATCTTCTGAAAGGTAATTGTTGATATGTGCGACGTAAGATGCTTTCTCCGATTCGCTAATTGTGTGAAGCAAAGTAGTGGTGGCAGCCTTGAGAAATGCCGATGAATTTTTCGCACCAGTACTTCCGGTTCTAGCACTTGCATGAGCTTGCAATTTCAGATAAATCTGTCATGTTCGTTAAAGATAATCATCAAGTAATACATCCGAACTTCAGTTTTTTTCCTTTCGACGTTCTCGTCGGAAAAGAAAATTGAGATAGATTGAACATGAACATCATCTGACAGAGGCTCTGTATCTATCAAAGATGAACAAAGAAAAGCAGAAGAGAGAGATAAAGAAGACAAACACAACGTACTTTAAGGAAGAATTCGTAATCGACTTCATCATCCTGATTCTGATACAAATCTTGTATGAAGGAAGCTCTCTCTTGCTCCGTAAGATTCTCTCCGACAACTTTAAGCCTCGACATTTTGGAAGCCAAGTCTCCAAGGGTAAGCCTGCCGCTCTCTCTTTTCATACTCATATACTACAAAATCCAATCAGATCCAAACCAAAAACACTAAGAACCAGCGGTTTCAACACCAAAACAGCCAAAACATACACCAGAAACGAATCAAGAATAATGCGACAGAGTGCTTTTCACATCAAACCAAAAGCCACCAGAATTCCCTCAAAATAATCAAAACAAGAAAGAGAGGAAGTACATACATGAGACTTCAGACTCCGAAGCTCGACTTGAGTGAACTGATTATGGAGCCATGGATCTGAGACGAGAATGCCAACATATCCAGACATGGCTCCGGTTCAAGGAAGATGCTGATGCTTCTAGTTCTTGCTCTTCTTCCGTTCAGGCTTCGGCTTCAGCAATCAGGGAAGGGAAAAGTGGGGAAGAAGATGAATGGCGATGGTAGGCCAAAGCTACGAAGCTGTCAGAATTTCAAAGATCGTTAGGAGAGAGAGAGAGAGAGAGAGAGAGAGAGAGAGAGAGAGAGAGAGAGAGAAAGAATTCAAATAATGACTCCACTATCCCCATTTCACTTTCTCTCTCTATATATATTAAAAGAAAGAACTGAGCGTTGTACACAAGTTGGGGCCGCTCTTGTCGTTTTAAATCATTTTAATTTTAATTTTAATTTTCTCTTTTTATTGTGACTAAAATGCCCCTCTAAACGGCTATACTCCCCAATTTTTACGTCCTCGGTTATAATGTTTTAAAAAAACAAATAAAATTATTCATTAATTTATGGAAAAATATTCAATTTTTACATTTTAATTACTCCGCTAGTTAGAAAAATAATATCTCAAATTTTAACTAAAGTTTTGCTATAATGACATTTTCAAGCGTTCAAGCTCTATAGGATAATTAATTGATTTTTGTTATTTAATATTTAACCGAGTTAATTCTATGTTTTAAAAATTAAATAATAATGATAATAATTTTTAAATTTTATTTTTGTTTAATATATTTTACTAAGAGTGTTTTAAGAAAAAAAAACTGTGTGAAGGAATAATGAAGAGAAAATTAATTCCATTTAATAAGAAAGCCTAAATTTTTATTTGGAACCCTTTTTATTATTGATTATATGTCGAAATTACAAAATTAACCCTAACGTGGAGCGTACAATACGGGGCAAAATTGATAGCTAGAAAGTGATTGGTTCAAGTCCGAGAAACTCGGTAAGAAAGGAAACATGAAGCCGACACGTGTCGATGGCAAAAAATTCAAATTTTATTCCAAAGAAGGGTAGTTTCGTCATTTAGGAAAACCGGCAAAGTTTGTGTGCTTTCTCACCGAAAGAGAAATTTGACTTAATCACGCAACCGTCGTTTCTCGTTTCTTTTTTAAAATTTCTTTTATTTCTTTTTTTTTTTTTAATTTAAGTAATCAAATAGTGTTTAAATAATTTAGTCCAATTTCAAAGTTTAATCCATAATACTTGAATTTTAATCTGTCAAGGAAGGCTCAGAAGGTCAAAGTTTCGGTCTTCTTCGAACTCTTATTAATATCAACAAAACTTTCAAATTGGTATTAGAGTTAGGTATCAAACGATGTGTCAGCGATGACGTTGAACTTTGAAGGGGTGGATTGTGAGATCCACATTGGTTGAACAATTAAACAAAATATTCTTTATAAAAGAGTGAAAACCTTTACCTATTAGACGTGTTTTAAAACAATAAAACTAACGACGATACGTAACGGGCCAAAACAAATAATATCTGTTAGCGGAAAAATATGTCGTTGGACTTCATCACCCACTTCCCGAATGTAGGCGATCATCGATTCTCGAAATATGCCACATTTGTACCCCACATTCTCGAATTATATTCTCCAACATTTTCCCACATTTTTTGTGGTATAACCACGCTATCTACTTGACAATCTTCTCAAATACGAAAGTATAAAATATATTTTTTATAATTTATTCTATATACATATTCTTATATTTTAAAACATTTTTAAAAAAAGTTCCAACATTTTCGAGATATTTTCACGATGGATCAAATCTATTTAAATTTAAGGAAACAAAATTTTAATAAACAAATAAAAAAATTCGTAACACTTAGATAATAAAATGTCAGAATTTAGTGCAACATTTTATAGTTTGAATGAGTCAAGATATTCAAGTTAATATTTTGACAATATATTAGTTATGAAATATATCTTAGATATTTTTAATCCTTTAATATTTTTCTATTTATGATTTGATTAATAGTATATTTTATTTTATTCCATGAATATTATTAGTTGGTAATTTATCTTAATATCTCGAATTCTTATTGTTTATTTGAGTAATAATATTTTGAGATCTATTCGGTTCGAAGGTTCTACAAGCATTTTTGAAAGCTATTCTACAACTAATATTATAAAATTGCAAATAATAATAAATACTATTAATAGAACTCAATTGGGAGCTTTTAAAATTACTAATTAAATTATAAATTGATTTTTTAACTTCCAATTTTTTTTTTTTTTTTATCAATTTTGTCTTAGAATTTTAAATGTTGAATATATAAACGATTTATTAATAACATAAAACTATTTTTTTAACACTAAAAAAAAAAAAAAAAAAAACTTTAATTCCTTGTTAATTTAAATGTTTTTTTTAATGAATTTTAATAATTTATTAAGTATTTTATATTTTTTGAATATTAAGATGTGGAGATTTGTAAGCTACCAAATCGGCTTTGAAGGCGTTATAATAAAGAGGACTTACTACCAATTATTTTGACATTATGTGTAGTTGTAAGGCCGCTGTAATCTAAAAGTAACCTCACGTGCCCATTCCTCCTTTTTCTCCTAAATATATATATATATAAAAGAAAGATCGATCGGATATCTAACCTCCGACACTCACTTTCTTTCGAATCGAGAGTTCGGTGACGTGATCTTAGTTAGTTGAAAGTGAGTATCGGGCATAATTCAACTAACTAAGATCACGTCACCGAACTTTCGATTCGAAAGAAAGTGAGTGTCGGAGGTTAGATGATACTCACTTTCTTATGGATCGAAAGTTCGGTGACGTGATCTTGATTAATTGAATTATGTTCGACTCATGTTGACACACCATTGGCATACCGTCCTGTGTATGACTATGATTCAATTTGTAAAGTACAAGCTCATCACTAGCTCGTTATATATTGTTGTCAGTCTCGCACATTTGTTAAGGAGAGGTTTATGTTTCGTTCTTTTCTCCAACCAATGTGGGATCTGACCGTTGGTTCGAAATAGCAAATTTTAAAAGTATTTTGAGATTAATAAATATGTTTATATTAGAAATAATAAAATAAAAATAAAAATATAGAAATATTTGGTAATGGGCCCTTATATTTGCTGTTTTTGCTTCAACTTTCTGTTAGCATAGAAGATGATTACAAAGGCCCACTTTTGTATAGACTTATCAAGTGGGGACTTTCATCACATGCTTACTTCACTGGCAGCTTGATATTTCCATCATGTTGCCTGATTTGGGAGATTCAAAAGCTTGATTTGCCTCCACATTACTGCTTAAAAGCTATAAGATTCAATCTCAAACTCGCCATATTTGACATCCTGTACTCGTAGATTCAAAAGGGTTCTAATCATTAACGAGCGCTTGAGTCTGTTTGTGCACCTCGCAACTATGCCCACGGGAAAAACATCCTACCCTTAAGTAAAAAAGTTGTGAGTTTCGATCGAAGGTGTAGTCATGGTGACTCAAGTGTCAAACAAAAGATGTCGTGAGCCTCGAAGATGCAGTCATAGTGAAGATTTGTGGTAGAGGTCTATTGGACTAGTAACGTGCTCCAGAGAAGAGAGTTGTAGAGATAATTCTGTGCTAGATGGTAGATATGACTATTTAAGGAGAGATTCAATAGTGTACTTTGTTCGAGGGCTCCAGGCAAGAAGAGTTGTCAAAAGAAGCACAATGGTGTACTTTGTTCGTGAAGGGAGAATCGTTTGGCTGTATTCTCTATTTCTATAGTTGCTTATTTTCTCTTAAGCAAACTCCGGTGTTCAACTCAAAATTTGGGAGCACCTCCCTCATCACCCTCACCTTTAATTCACGTGTTCAACTCAAAATTCAAGCATATTCAAATTGATGTTGTAATGGCTCAAGTCCACCGCCAGTAAATATCGTCCACTTTAGTCCGTTATATATCACCGTCAATCTCATAATTTTAAAATACTTCTATGAAAGGTTTGAACACATTGGTCAAAGGGCAATTTAGATTCTCTTGTTGAGCTAAGTAAAAAATTAATTTGTCTTAGAACCTGACGGCTTTGGGACGGCACTGTTTGGGAATTTCCATTCCAACAATTATTGAAGGTTCGCAAATCAACGGGAATTTGTTATGTTTGATCCAATTTCAGCATCATCGCTTCTCGCATTACTAAGAGAAACTCTTCCCTGACTTCGGGAATTCCCCCTTTCTTCTTCCACCTGCGTTCCTTTGCAGAAATTCGTCGAACTTCATCTTGGTTCTGCTCACGATCGTTCTTTGAACGCCATGAATATCTTTTCGAAGAAACCTACCGCCAAAGGTCGTTCCCAATTGCTGCCGTTTGTTTTTCTTCATCGATTTCGTTCATTTGATGATTCTTTTTCCTAAATTTGTAGCGGAAATTTTGTTCATCTGTTTCTGCATTGCTCTCAGTTCCTCCTTTTTGCTTTGATATTTTTGTTCTGGGTTGCTTTGATTCGGTTGTTCTTTATGAGATTAAACTTGTTTCGATTACAGAAGCTCTTCGGGAGAGTAAAAGGGAAATGACGCGCTCTACGAGAGGTATCTTATTGATGTTTCATAAGTGCACTTAATTAGTGAGGGATTCATCTGGTTTCAAAGTCATGATTGCGCTTTTGTCTCGAGTAATTAAATCTATTCACGTTTCTCATCATATTTGTGTATATTACAACTCGTTCATATGCTCATGATGATGTTTATTTCGGACTGAATGGAGCAAAGAAGCATGTAATTTATGATTGCGAATGGTACTAGCGTGGAACCACTTACCGCCAACCCCTTTCCTCATAGAGAAAAGGAGAAGAAAATTTGGGCTTGAACTTAGGAGTCTGCTTATGAGATCCCACGTTGGTTGGGGAGGAGAACGAAACATTTTTTATAAGGGTGTGGAAACCTCTCCAAGCAGACGCGTTTTAAAAATCTTGAGGTGAAGTCCGAAAGGGAAAGCCCAAAGAGTACAGTATTTGCTAGCGGTGGGCTTGGACCGTTACAAATGGTATCAGAGCTAGACACCGGGCGATGTGCTAGCGAGGAGGCTGAGCCCTGAAGGGGGGTGGATTGTGAGATCCCACATCTGTTGGGAGGAGAACGAAACATTCTTTATAAGGGTGTAGAAACCTCTCCCTAGTAGACATGTTTTAAAAACCTTGAGAGGAAGCCCGAAAGGAAAAACTCAAAGAGGATAATATCTGTAGCGGTGGGCTTTGGGCTTTTACAAATGGTATCAAAGTCAGACACCGGGCAATGTGCTATGAGGAGACTAAGCCCCGAAGGGGGGTGGATTGTGATATCCCACATCGGTTGGGGAGGAGAACAAAACATTCTTTATAAGAGTGTGGAAACCTCTCCCTAGCAGACGTGTTTTAAAAACCTTGAGGGAAAGCCCGAAAGGGAAAGCTCAAAGAGGACAATATCGGATAGCGGTGAGCTTGGGTTCTTACACTCAATATGCCATACCAATAATGCTATGGCTTTGAGTTGGGATAAGATGGTACTAATGTTTTGGGATTACATTTTGCAATTGTTTTCAGAATAGAATGATATTCTGTGGTTATGTTTCTTGACACTTCTTGAAGTTAAGAATGCCATTTCCTTACCTTGAATTGATATTCCTTTGCACGTAACTACGTTGTTTAATTCCTTATACTATTTTTTTTAAAGTGTCACTTCCTTAGATGTTTTTATTTCATTTTCATACTATAATAATTGTTTTTTTCTCTTTTCTTTGAGATATCACTGAGTGGTCTCATCTTTTTGCCACTTTTTCTCAGGTATAGAGAAGGAAATTGGGGCATTGCAATTAGAAGTACGTGAAGAGCTTCTAAACATGGGTTTAATCTAAATACTCTGTGTTTTAACTGTGATTTGGCTTATAATCTTATCAGGAAAAGAAGCTGGTCGCTGAGATAAAGAGAACTGCCAAAACAGGAAACGAGGTACATTTCACATTCTCGACCAGATTGTATCGGTCCTAGTCCTATGGAGGGTTGATTCTTTTTGAAAAGTTCTTCTTCTCGGGTCGAGCATTAATTATGTTTATCATCATCTATTCGATTCTTCAGGCAGCGACAAAGATTCTTGCTCGGCAGTTAGTTAGGCTCAGGCAACAAATAGCAAAATTACAAGGTAGTCGAGCTCAAATGAGAGGCATAGCAACTCACACACAGGTGAAGTCAAGTGCCTAATTCTTCTCTTCTGACTTGGTTGAGTATTTTTGCATTATGATGTATGATCTTCTCTTTAGTGTTATAACAATCCAAGCCCACCGTTGGCAGATATCGTCCTCTTTGGGCTTTCCCTTTCGGATTTTCCCTCAAGGTTTTTAAAACGCGTCGGCTAGGGAAAGGTTTCTATACCCTGGTAAAGAATGCTTCGTTCTCCTCTTCAACCGATGTGGGATCTCACAATCCACCCCCCGTCGGGGCCAACGTCCTCGCTGACACACCACCTCGTGTCCACCCCCTTCAGGGCTTAGCCTCCTCCTTAGCACATCGCTCGGAACCTGGCTCTGATATCATTTGTAACAGCTCAAGCCCACTGCTAGTAGATATTGTCCTCTTTGGGCATTCCCTATTGGGTTTCCCCTCAAGGTTTTTAAAACGTCTCTTTTAGGGAGATGTTTCCACACCCTTGTAAAGAATATTTCGTTCTCCTCTCCAACTGATGTGGGATCTCACAATCCACCCCCTTCGGAGTCCAGCGTCCTCGCCGGTACATCGCCTCGTGTCCACCCCCTTCGGGGCTCAGCCTCCTCGTTGACACATCGTTCGAAACTTGGCTCTTATATCATTTGTAATAACCCAAGCCCACCGCTAGAAAATATTGTCCTCTTTGGGCATTCCCTTTCGAGTTTCCCCTCAAGGTTTTTGAAACGTGTTTGCTAGGGAAAGGTTTCCACACCCCTGTAAAGAATATTTCATTCTCCTCTCCAACCAATGTGGGATCTGACAATCCACCTCCCTTTGGGGCCTAGCATTCTCGCTAGCAAACCGTCTCATGTCCACCCCCCTTCGGAGCTCAATCTCCTCGTTGGCACATTCCTTAGAACTTGGCTCTGATACCATTCGTAACAGCCCAAGCTCACCTCTAGCAGATATTGTCCTCTTTGGACTTTTCCTTTCGGGCTTCTCCTCAAGGTTTCTAAACCGCGTCTGCTAGGGAGAGATTTCCACACCCTTGTAAAGAATGTTTCGTTTTCTTCTCCAACCGACGTGGGATCTCACAAGTGTAGCACATAATCTATTATTAATAGCATCTCCTCACATTTTACAGGCAATGCATGCTCAGACTTCTGTTGCCGCTGGCATGAAGAGTGCCAGTACAGCAATGTCAGCTATGAATAAGGTAAGTAAATTTGGATATCGATCATCCCTTACATATATGAAATTGCTGTGATTAATGAACAGAATAGTAGCCATGCTTTCGAAGCATAATGATTATCGTTCACCCGTATCTCTTTCTGTTGTTTTCGATTATTTTATACTCAATCATGTGTCCGACGCACTTTTTAAAAACAAAAAGCTGTAATATTATATACCCAATTCATATTCTGTGAGAGCTTAAAGTTTTATGTTGTTTTTAAATTTTGTGCATAACTTTTACCATGTTCATCTGTAGCAAATGAATCCCGTGAAGCAAGCAAAGGTCATTAGAGAATTTCAGAAGCAGTCTGCACAGATGGATATGACTGTAAGATTCTACTTTAACCTATATTCTTCCATATATTCTTACAGGAAGAAAAGCTCTTGAATTTGCTAGCTTTGTTTATGTAACATCTAAGCCTCCCTGTTGTTATACGCTTACCCTTTTTTCCTTCCTTTTCGGTTGAAATGAACGTACTTACTATACTTGGTGCATCAGAATTTGTAACAGCCCAAGCTCACCGCTAATAGATATTGTCCTCTTTAGGCTTTCCCTTTCGGGCTTCCCCTCAAGATTTTTAAAACGCGTCTGTTAGGGAGAGGTTTCCACAGCCTTATAAAGAATGCTTCGTTTCCCTCTCCAACCGATGTGGGATCTCACAATTCACCCCCTTGGTGGTTCAATGTCCTTGCTGGCACACCGCCTTGTGTCTGGCTGTGATATAATTGGTAACACTCCAAGCCCACCGCTAGTAGATATTGTCTACTTTGGCCTGTTACGTATTGCCATCAGCCTCACGGTTTTAAAATGCGTCTGCTAGGAAGAGGTTTTCACATTCTTAATGCTTCGTTCCCTTCTCCAATCGACGTGGGATCTCACAAGAAATATCAATCAAAATGCAATAGGAATCTTACTTCATAACCTCAGTTTTGATAAATAAAAAAATTGTATTTCTGTCACTGCGGGATAATGTTTCAACATTTCTGGATGCTTACGGTCTTCGTTGGTGGCAGACGGAGATGATTTCAGATGCTATAGATGATGCCCTGGATGATGATGAGGCAGAAGAAGAAACTGAAGATCTAACGAATCAAGTAAGCTCCTTTAGCTGCCTTCATTTATTTCCTCCTTTCTTTACTCCAGTTGTAGTAAAAAAGTTAGCTTAAAATTGTTTCTTGTAATAGCCACTAATTTGCTACTCTGGCCTGTACCTATTGCTTTTTGATTGTGTTCATCGAGTTTAAAGTCATAAGCCCGAGTTTCAGAGGTCCAAGTATCAACCATTGTTAACATTTCTCCATGAAACTTATGTGATACTAGCTGTGCTAAATTTTAGGACCTCAATCTTCTTTTAGATATCAGATTTGATGACCTATGATTTGCTCAAATAATAATTGAACGCAATAGGCGCTACCCCCCCCCCCCCCCCCNCCCCCCCCCCCCAACCTTACTTGAACAATCTGTGACCCCTGCTTCCTTCTGCTCGACAGGTGCTCGATGAAATCGGCGTTGATATTGCCTCACAGGTATGTTAAAATTGGTTTTACATCTTTTTAAAGTCTTGTCAACTGGATTGCATATACTAGAACTGATTGGATCATGTGTATGTATTTGATTCAGCTTTCAACAGCCCCAAAAGGAAGAATTGCATCAAAGAATACTGAGGGTGTTAGTAGGTATGTAGTGTATACATTTCCCATGAATATTCATCTTCTTACATGAATCAAAAGAAAATTTATTGGTTATAATTTGAAATAGAATAAGCTTTTGATCCTCTTTTCAGTTTTCTGATTTAAATTACTTGTGAGATCATGCTTTGGTTGCATAAAGGTAGTAGCTGAATTAAGACCATGAGCAATTAGACCATGAAAGGACCATGGAAATGGAATAATCATACGTTTTTTTGGTTCTTCCTTTCAAATAATGGCTATTTTGTTGCTAATATTTTGCAGTTCAAGTATCGAGGAGCTCGAAAAGCGATTGGCTGCTCTTCATAATCCTTGAACATTATGATAAATTCCCTTGATTTCCAATTGAGATGAACACGATTTCGACTAGGATCATCTATTGTACATATAAACTCTCTCTCTCCCTCATATTCACTATTGAGGCACAAATGTTTATTACCCTCTTGAGATAATGGAATCTTATTAACCATTTGCTTGTATCCTTGGATTAATTTAGATCCTAATTCAAATTGAAGGATGCTAAAACTACTCTTTAAAACCCATTTCTAAGACACTGGAAGTGTTTGTTAATTACTAAACAAATATATGCTTTGGGTAAACAAAAGAACTAACAAGCATGGGAGTTAGCCTCCTTACTGAGAATATTTACAAAACCTAAGGAGAAACATATTATAAATTACAGGAAACACTTAATAGTATTTTCTAATTGTAAGGCATCATTCCATCAGTGATAATCCTACCTCAGTTCTCAAGCATGGGATTGAAGAAGCTCTACAACAGTGTAGTGTACATTTCTTGGCATTCTACAGATTTCAACTTGTCAAACTACGCTTCTATGATTCCCGATATTTGGTTAGGTCGAAGGTCAACGTTCTCGAGCAGCTGTCAAATACAAGTGTATTATTGTTATGACATATTGGCCATTCTTCCAGGGAAACAAGAGATATAGGTCAGACACAAAAATGTAACAGATGATGGCCAAAATTTTGCGTATCAATCATTCATAAACATTTGTGCATGAAATATGTTTTATAAGCTTACCTTCTTTCGCAATCACGGTAAACCCCTACTAAAGCTTCAGCTTTGTCATAAAAGCTATCCTTCAGTGATATAACAATACTTTGAAAACCACTGCTTCCATCCGTGTCCTGGCTCATTCTGGCACCTTCACATGACTTCGAACGAATGAAACCAGCAACCTTCGCAACGTTCAAGTTGTCTAAGGCAGCATCCACTTCATCCAATATGAAAAAGGGCGAAGGCCTAAAACTGAGACATTGGACAATGTGAACAACAGCCATCAGCTGACAATAATCTGTGGCTTCCCAGAAAATATAATAAGTAGCTGCAAGATACTCTATAACAGATACTTGACGTAGTTTAACGAATAATATCCACCACCTTATCCTATTGGCTCAACCCAAGGACATTGGTAAGGAATTAGAGTCATAAACTCACAAGTCATAAGCAATAAAATCATCCACAATGAAGACTCCAAAATGTAAGATCAAGCATCTACATCATCATACCTATGAATGGAAAAAAGCAACGCCAATGCTGCCACAGTCTTTTCTCCACCAGACAACTGTTCCATGTCACGAAACCGCTTTGTTGGTGGCATAGCAGTATACTTGATACCATGTAAAAATGGTTCATCCTCATTTTCCAAGTTCAAATATGCCGTTCCACCCAAGGGATGTGTGTTACTTTTTGTCAATTGCTTGTAAATCTTATCGATATTTCCAGAAATATGGTTGAAAGCATCCATAAACAACTCATACCTGCAGTTGTCAAGACAAACTTAGCATAATACGAACAGCAAATTAATGCAGCAATAGAAGCATCAGAAAGCTTAATGAATCAAGATTTCTCGTAGACTTATAACCGGACATTTAGGTAGGACCATATTAGCAACTAAATAACCAATATTTTGTTGGAGTACGACATCCAAGTACTCAGATGTCTCAGAATAAATAAATTCAGATATAAACATAATAATGAAGTTTTGTTGAAGAAATGACTACAAGTCAATAGAGTTAAGGATATGCTTCTCAATGTTAACTTGTGGACTCAGAGATGCAATTAATAAAGAGTACCTTTTTTGCTTAATAGAATTGAATTTGTCAGCCACCTCTTTCTCCTCTTTCCTAGCGGCTTCAAACTCCTCAGATATTACTCTTTCCTTTTCTTTCAAAGCTTCATATTGATCAAGTGCTTTCAAATTTGGTGCAGTTCTGTCAATTTCTGATACCAAGGAATCTATCTTATGTTTGAACTCCAGCTCACGTTTCTCTCTATCAGATGATCTCTTATCCTGTTGATAGGATCTATTCAGCTGGCTAAAATCAAAAACTGGTCCAGGAGTCAAGGATTCAGTTTCCATGGGGTCTGAGATAGTGGGGAGGTCAATATTTTCTAATTCACATTTTTCCACTATTTCCTGCTTCTGTGTGATCAGCTGTTCAATACTCGACTCCTGGAAGGAAAATATGGTGGATATCCATCACAGTTTATTCAAATTTGATGTTTATGTAAGTAATCAAGAGCAAAAAAGCACAAAAAATGCTCAGGTGCCCGATAAATGTTATGTGCATGCCAGTGTCAAAACTTCACTTCACATATCAAAATCCAGTGAAAAGAACCTTAGAATTAATCTGACGATTCAATTTTGATATGCTAGTCGTAGCAGCGGATGTTTTCTTCTTCCATTCCTGCATATCCTTCTCACACACTTCCAACCTGGATTTCCACTCTGCTAAGTGCAAAGAGAATGAATTATTTAACTATGGAAGCAACAAAGAACAACAAATTATGTTCATATAGAAAATGTAGAGCCTTCTGAGCTGTAATATTTGGTAAGAAATGAATAGAAGTACCTTATCCAACTGTAGATCCAGACCAAAAATAAAAAAGAAACAAATAAAAATTAAATCTCTTATAATATATGCAAGATCTGTTCTAGTCCAGAGATTAACTAGGGAAATTTTGATACAGTAAGCCCGTGTGAAAAAAAAAAAAAAGAAGAAAAATTCAGAAAGTAGGTCTAGTTTGCAATGAGCTTAATATATTTTTAATAAAACAAGAATTAAAAAATTTACAGTATTGATAAGAGATTATTGTGCAACAAGACCTTACCAGCCAATTCCTCCTTCAAGCGATCAATATCATTATTGGCATTTTCAGCGGTTGATTTGGCATCAGCCTCTTTGTTTTGAATCTTTCTTAAAGCATTCTCTAACGAACTCAAAGAAGATTCCAGTTCTTTAATTTGTGATTCCATGTCCCGATTCTGTTCATACTCCAACCTGAGTTACATGTCAGGAAAAGAATATGTTCTATTAGCATGGACAGTTAGTTGATGATGATTGGAAGCTGACGAACTATTCATTTATGTACAACAGTAGAACTTAGGTTCAGTTGAAAACATATATTTTGCCAGCAAAAAGATTAGATTCCAGTCAACCAAAAGAAAGTTCAAAAGGAAATCCTTTGATGTGTCCACCACTTTCACAAAACTGAGAATGATGGAATGGAAACAAAGGTTCAGGGGATGTGTAAGTCGGAAATTTTCTCCTAGAGCTAAATCCACCATTATAACCTTGTCAAAAAAATTTGTAATACTTGTTTCCTAATTTGAGCTAAGGAAAAGATGGGATATTTCAACGAATGTAAGGTTAGCTCAGTTGACCCATTATACTGCTTGATCAAATATACAAAAAATAACTTAACTTGATACAAGGTATTCTCTTGCAATAAATGTATTGACAAAAAGTGCAACACCCTATCTTTCTAAGGAGATTGCCGCACATAAGCTATGTGATCATCAAGAAGTGCAACACCCTGTCTTACTCAGCATTCAACCAATTGGTTTTAAACCATACTTTTTTCCCCCTAAAATAACGATGTCCTAAAATGAAAAATTTTGAATCCCCAAAACAATTTTGCACCTAAGAGATGAGTCTCATTTTACACACTCGCAATGTATAAGGAACAAGGCAATTGTGCATGTATTTTATTTTCTTCAGCATAGAACTGTAAGTACACTAAGCATGGTAGGACAAGAGTAAAAAGGAGGGGAACCTACTGGCATTTCAATTTTGATAGCTGACTACTCAAGCTAATACGTTCATCAGCCATATGCTGCACTGCTTGGAGTTGATTTTCTTCATATTCTCGTATGTTTGCCACCCCAACAGATTTGCTGAAGTCTCGATATATCCGATCAACAATTTCATTGATCCTCCTCTCCAACTTCCTAATTTCTGTGTTTCTTTTATCAATCCCATTTTTTAACTACAATAGAAATAATATAACATTACACTTTGAATAATAAAATAAATGTGTAAAGAAAAAAAAAACAGGTTAGCATGTGGTCACAGTATTACCTTCTGAAGTTCAGGACTTATTCGATCAATTTCTTCTTTAATAATTTCTTTTTCTTGCCTCAAGTTCGTAAGCTTGTCTTCAATACTTCGCTGCAATAATATCTCATAATCAATATCACATTCATTTCTGCATTATGATCATTTGATTTCTCTCTCTTTTGGTCCTTAACACCCTTGCTAGTCAATGAAGGTGTTTTTTTTTTTTTGTAATCATTTTTTGATAGAAAGAAGCATACTGTTATCCATATGAAAGTGCAATATATGATAGGAATTTTTTTCAGGTAATCACCTTCTCAATCTCCGCATACTGAATCTTTTTCTCAAGTCCACTAATCCTCCCAGATGCTTCAGATTCCTTTAGTTGCATCTCTCTGATTGATCCAAGTTCATCTAGCTCTGATTCATACTGTTCTTTCTTTTTCTTCAGCCCTAAAATACAGCAACAATAAATGGTAAAGTTCCAACATTAATCAATGAATGGATTGAGTACCTTCAATCTTCTTATCATCCCATTTGTTTGACCTTGCTTCCATGCCACCACTAGTACCCCCAGTCATTGTGCCAGATTTAGTAAGCAGAATACCATCAACAGTTACAACTAGTTCAATCATAAACAAAGTAGCCATAAGATAAACTGACGGAGCTACAAAAAAATATTTTAAAACTGACTAAATGTTACCTTTATGCCTTTCTCCACTCCAGCTCAGAGCCTTGGCTTCATCAAGGTCGTCGCAAACTAGAGTATTTCCCACAGCAAATATAATTGCCTTCTCCAACGCCGGATTAAAAGTGTGATTGTTAAGCATACAAATTCATATATCTTCTCGCCTATTAGGCTATTACCCACTAGCAGTTTAGAATTAACCAAATATGATAAAAAAAAATGAGAAAAAATCAAACATCAGATAATGGATCTCCAATTCTTAAAAATGAAAAAAAATTAAACCATGCATTAAGAATTATTTCAAGGGAAGAATCCAGTTTTTAACCCCTAAAGTTCTTTACCCATACACTTACCACAGAGAATCAAATTTAGGAGTTTATCACCTTTCTTTTATCATGCATTCCAATCTGTCATAATTAAAAGGCTGTAG